GGACATCCCCAAATCGAGGTTTTTGGCGATTTTGTCAGGTTTGCTCACTTTTGGGTACAAATTTGTCCCCAAAATATGGTTAAGTAGGTACACACACACACACACACACACACAAACACCCCTTGGGTTTTTGTGTTTTATGAGGACTCTACACAGACATTTTTAGACGGTACAACCTTTATATTCTATTCCCTAACCCGAACCACAAACTTCCGTAAACCGTAACCATAAATACATTTTTCATTTTCAATCAATGAATCAATAAATAAATTTATAAAAATTCATAACATGTTCAGCATTTTTACAATTAAATATAATTCATTTTTACAGTGTTTTTACAAATGGAGATGTTCCCAAAACAAGGTTTTAGAAGGTTTTGTCAGATATAGCTCACGTCTGGGTACAAATAATGAATCAACAGTCTCACGTTAGGGTGAGCCAGGGTGTTGCTGTCAGTGTACATGATGGAGCCGGGCAAAAGGGTGACTTCCTCCTTTATAGTCTCTGCCTCGTTCTTGATCTCTGAAGCTTCAGTCACCTACACATAAAGTGTTATGGTATTTACAAAAACCTTAAGAAATCACACCGAGCTTTGATCTTTCCATCATTCCAGACATTTCTCTTATTCATAATATTCAAATCCACTCCCACTTTGCATGATAAGTTGTTTAATTAAAGAGAAATGCCTCATTCCTTAACTTCTTCACCATCGTATCTTATTCTCCTGAGATCCACTCTTCTTTGGTGCCAAAAATAGTCATAATTTAGACCCCTTAAGTTTCAACCATAATTAAACCCATAGTAAACCCACCTGTAATTTGCAAATAATTCTGAACACCGTGATTAGCTTGTTTGAGGTTAACCTTCATTAACCTTCCAGGACTGGGTTAGAATTAAAGGGATAGTTCAGCCAAAAAAGAAAACTCTCTCATGTTGTTCAAAATATGTACAACTTTGCTTTCTACTGCGGAACATAAAAGAAGATATTTAGAGAAACCGAAACCGTTTGCTTACCAAGAGAGAAGAGAGAAGAGGGAAACGCATACAGGTTTGGAGCGACGTGAATTTTCATTTATGGGTAAACTATGCCATTTATTAAAATAGACTTTTTGCTGCTGTTTTTTTTTGCAAAGATCTTCATCTGTGTGACATTAGTAAGTTGCAGACACTGAGATATTTTTGCACCTTGCTTCAGATTTGAATAAGGCTCTTTTTGGACTGGAAGGAAATGAGTTCAGTGAACTATTTTATCTCAAGAGATCAAGTTAAATTTGCTTGACCCATTTAACTGGAATTAGTGGGTGCAGTTTAAAGGTGGAAGGTTTGCATCTGATAATGACTCATTCTTGAACCATAGTAAAGTTGAGCAAACACTTATCTGTAGGTGAGTTCAATGCGAGAGATGTTGGGTGCCATTCTATACACAAACTGATGGCAGTATAATCATAACAGTGCTCACTCGTGTCCTTTATAACATCTATATCCGAGCTAAGCAGACTCCTGTGTTCAACGTCAAGGCCATACTCTGTTCAGTGAGGTTTTATCTGAGCTACATGGAATGGAAATTATTGAAAAATCAAATGTGCATGAATGTATGTATTTGTGTTTGCCCAAAGAATGTCCTCCATGTATGCTTTTATTGCTGTTCGTACATCATTCAGAGTAATGTTAAGTGCTGGTCTAGCATCAGTACAGACTCATTTCAGCTGTCACCTTTTGTCTCAGACCACAGAGATCTGTGCGCATTTGTTAGTAATCTGATTTGCGCGGTGGGCCGGATTCAGTAATGCTCACAGCCCACCGACGGGCAGACGCTTTTCAAGAGCCCGAGCACAAGTGGACAGGTGCCACAGACCAAACGGAATTTAATGGCAATCATTTCATTTGCAGACAAGCGGAGAGTAATCCGGCGAAAAGAAATCAAATAAAAGAATATATCTATATATGAGAAGGAAGGCAAAGAGAATAGAGAGGGAGAGAGCCAGAGATGTACCTTGGTGGCATCCCAAGATGATTTGAAAGCCTGAGGAACAAAGGAGTCGCTCTCAATGGCCTCGATATCCTTTATCCTCCTCACCTGCTCGGCGAGAGACATTTCCTCTAGAGGAACAAAAAACAGAGCGGCGAGAGGTCAGCGGGGCAGGTCAGACGGTCACAAACCACAGAAACAAAAAAAAACATCATTCTGATGGATTCATCTCTTAGCGAATAACAGCGTCAATCTACTGGACACTGTTGAGTCTGTAGTGCACATGACACATTGAAGCAGCTGTGCTCATGGGATGCCGGTTGTGTCCCGATCCCATTCCCTGTCTATGTCTGTATGTCTCCAGGAAAACAACAGCATACGGTCCAAACAAGCAAGAATACACAGTACACAGTAGCAGGGAAAAAAAGAGAAAAGAATCTAGAAAGAAAATAAAAAAATGACTGGTTTGATGAAGCCTATGTTGTGTTAAGTGTCCTCTATAGTTTGAAGTAGTTCGGACTTAAAGGGATAGTTCAGCCAAAAATGAAAATGTGATGTTTGTCTGCTTACCCCCAGGGCATCCAAGATGTAGGTGACTTTGTTTCTTCAGTAGAACACAAACGAAGATGTTTAACACAAACTTTTGCAGTCTGTCAGTCTTATAATGGAGGTGAATGGGAATCATGGCTTTGAGAGTCAAAAAAACATACACAAACAAAACCAAATTAAACCCTGCGGCTCATGACGATACATTGATGTGTAAAGACACGAAACGATCGGTCTGTGCAAGAAACTGAACAGTATTTATGTCGTTATTTACCTCTGATCCACCACAATGTCCGAACTGTCTGTTCGCGTCTTCTTCTTGCTTTACGGCTGTATGACAAGACGCAGAAAGACCGTCCGGACCCATGAACCGTGACACACTCAGGAAACAGCCAGCATTGTGATTTGGCTTGAAGATGTGATGCATGTTTCTCCAAGTATTTATGGCATAGTTCTGAGTAAAATGATGCATTGTACACAACCTCAAATTTGAATGCAATATAGTAGCAGGGTCTTATTCCGGTATCTGCTGTATATTGTATTCAGTTTCTCCTAATAATCATATCAGGAGATACATATGCTAATGATTTTGGGTTGGACTGATACACACAACACCTGGTCATTTTTAGTCAAGCTATCGGCCTCTGGTGGTTGAGCATATTAATATGGACACTAACACATACTGTGACTTCAACTATTGCTGATAGTTGTTTAGAAGGTAACGTTTTATTTTGATATTCCACATTCTACTGACTGTACCTAACTTTGCAAGTACGTCAAATTATTCGACTAACCGTCTACAAATACACAATTATAAGGAGAGACAGAATTTCAAGGAGATTTCAAGAAAAAAATAATCAATCCTAAGGTTCTTCAGGGTAAACGGATCTTCTATTATTTCATATGCATACTTCTCTCACTCTACACATTCCTTCAGGAAAATAAAGACCTAATGTGATATTGTTTGGTACTACTTCCATAAATAAATAGAGCAACTGGCTATATTGTGTCTAATATTTAAGTTACTCCATATTAACTTCTTGTTTACTGAACTATAAGCTGTGATTACCTACAGCCACAGCTGTGCTGTTATTCAGAACAGTTTGTGTGATCCTGCTAATTTAAAACATCCTTAAACATAAAACACAATGTATTACTGATACTCAAATTCACCCACAATTCAATCTCTCTCCACACATATGCATGAAAATGCTCAGAAGCAAACAATATTAGGTAGGAAGCATGCTCTCTCTCTCTATT